AATTCTTCAGTGGATTGGACTTTGTGTTAGCCCTCACTCAACACAACTGTCTCTATAGTTGGGGTAACAATGAAAAGGGACAGTTAGGTATGGCACACAAGAGTACGGATTCCTTATATGTAAAAGTTGGACAAATTGATCACAACTACATCGATAATAAAGTTATTAATCAAATAAGTTGTGGTTATTATCACACAATGATTCTCACGAATGATGGCTGTGTCTACGGATGGGGTTATAATATGTTCGGACAGTTAGGTTGTGGACCAGACAGTGATATACGAAAACGGGCAATATTTCGAGTTAATTTCAATCATATTCACAAAATTAAAAGCATTTATTGTAGTCCTTACTCTTCATTTGCCATCACATCTGAGGGACAGGTGTTTAGTTGGGGTCGAAATGATTGGTATGGTTTGGGACACAATTTATCGGATAATATATGGAAACCACAACTCATTGCAGACATGACTGGTATTAAGACTATCTGTTCCGGTGGTCAAATCACTTATTTCTTATCAAATGATGGATTTATTAAATTTTGCGGACAATATAGGAATGAAAACAACGAATATTTGTTTCAAATATCACCAAAAGTATTAAATAATGAGAGGTTTACAGAAATGAAAATAATTATATCATTTAACGATTACTCGTATAAGTTTAATGCTATAATGAATGGCAAAATATATCATTTTAGTGATGATATTATATTTGAAACAAATTATACAAATTTCTTCGACTGTTTCACAAATGTGTTTCAAATGACTCATAAAACAATTAATTTGTGTGATTATAAGGAATATAATTATAACACAAAAAAAGAATTTATTGCAAAATGTTTGGATTTTTTGAAAAAAATATTTTCCTCGATAAAAGATTTATCAAACAATGGTATGAATTGGTTTTATGGGTCATTAATAAAGTACGTTCATCCATAGTTATCACTCCCATATACAATATATAACATCATAAAATGCGCGTTAAATAGTGTAACAGTCAATAGTGTCCTAGATTTCAAGGTTCAATATTTTTGCTAGTATTAAAAAAACTTAATCTTTAAAGAACATAAATATCCAGATAATGTTTTTTTCAATAATACCTAATTAACTTGAAAATACTCAAATATACTTAATAAACATTTAAACTTTTATAAGATTTATAAAAAATAACACATTTCCTATTCTCGGCTTCAATGGTGTTTAGAGCCCTTTCTTTGCCATTCAGAAAAATAGTGAGAAAACTATATTTATATTGTTTTAGGGAATACTCCAAAAGGATTATCCATTTTGCAATTTCCTTCCCCCTCTGATTACGTACTTTGAATGACTTCTTACCAAAAAGAATGATTGAATGAGAATTCAATTTGTTTTATAGTTGTCTCCGAAATGAGTTATTACAAGAGTTTGTACGAAGAGTTGCATTCATTAGGTTCGGGAGCTTTTGGGGAAGGAAATTGCAAAATGGATAATCCTTTTGGAGTATTCCCTAAAACAATATAAATATAGTTTTCTCACTATTTTTCTGAATGGNGAATCTGCGGTTAAGAAAATAAGATACCAAGGTAAGTTAATGAGTTTAGATATAATATATCTACAATAACTATATCTGTATTTTAATGTATCATATTTTATTTGTAAATCAAAAATTTTTTAAAATGTTTTGTAAAATTTTATATTATTTATAATTAATACACATACAGGTGATGACAATCTACGGGAGTGTATGCAAGAAATGCAAAAATTGGTTAAAGTTAGGTCAGAATACTGTGTCCAATATATCGGTCAATGGATAGAAAACAATGTGTATTTCATTGTAATGGAGTTGTGTTCCCATAGTCTGCAGAATATTCTTCAACACAAACCACAAGTATTTGGTCGACAACCGGAAGAACCCATGAATTCAATCGAGTTTTACATTTCGTGTCATTTATTCA